AGCCTAACACCTTAGCATGGTACATCCGATCCTCTCCAGTTCTTACCCAAACCTACCTCCCTGGCCACGCTCACCACTCCCTCCTTTCTGAATTTCCCCAGTATTCTCTGGTTCTTCTGTCCCTAACACTTGCTGTTCTCTGTGCCTGGAACAGGTTTTTACCACACCTTCCTTGCTTTTCAAAATCAGCACTTACTCTGCCTCTTCTGTGACTCCCATTACCATTCTGTGACTTGGGCAGAGTCAGTCCTTCATTCCTTTGCACATCAAATTGTGCTTTTCTTGCTCACTAGATGCTTCTTGGTGGGAGAGTTCCTGAGCCCTGGACCTTATCTTATTGGTTTATTTATCTTTTTTTGAGTTCACAAGGCTTAATGCCTTGCATAATAATTTCCTGAATTGAAAATAACTGAAGTTTTTAAAAGCTCAGTTAACCAAATTGATGATGATACTACACTATTAATGGAAACACAGAGGAACAGATTTAGGTTTGGAGCATGTTGACTTTGAGATGTTTCTGTTACATTTAGGAAATGTCCAGGAGGTACTTAAAAATAGGTGGAAATAGGAAGGACAGGTGTTAGTGTACTATATATATATATGTGATGCTGTGAATCATGGGAGTTGTTGAGGTCACATGAAGATTAAGAAGATACAGTGGCTAGCCGGCAGGGAACAAGAAGAAAAATGACTGATGATAGTTAATTTTCATCATCTTTAGTAGGATGTAATGGCCTGAAAAAAAAATTTAGGGTAACAGATTTAAAAAAAAAAAAAAAAAAAAAAGATAATTCATGTGTATTTCTTAAAAAAAAAAACAAAACACCACCATATTTTTAAGACCAAACAAAATATTACTATGTTTTCATACTATTGTATTATTGATTCCTGGCCTTTACTATCCTAAAATGGTTTTTACTATCTGTGTATTGGAAACTTTTTAATGTAAAACTGGCTGCAATATCAAATTATTGCAATTTATGTTTCTTAAGATTAAACAATTCATTCTTTCTTTCAAGGGCAAGAAATAATATATTTTCGCCTCTGGGGCGGGGGGCCTGACCTTTTCCTAAGAGTAGGAAGGATGCAGTGCTTTCTTTGCTTGTGGGTTTCCTTTTGTTCACTTTTGACCTAGATATTGGTGGTTGTGTTCCAGTCCTCCTGCGTATGCCCGCGAGGATTGGGAGTGGCGTGGACTCCAGCAGCAGCACCTTTTTTCCTGTAGAGATTAGAACCCAGGAGCTTGCTGCCCAGCTTGCACAGGCTCAGGACAGAGAGGAGGAAGAAACGAGTGTAAAGGTTTTGGTTTTGGAAAGAAGTTGGAATCTTCCTGGCCCTGGGACCTTAGGATCCACAAAATTGCTGAAAGAAAAAGTACCACTTGTTGAAAGGTAAGATATTCAACTGTTTTAAGGTTTAAGCTATTTAAGCCACAGTAGCATACTCGCACAAGCTGTGACAGCAAGCAGTCATGTCTGCTCAACTGAAGTTTGACATAAGCACCCATCCAGCCTTCCTGGTGAGATGGAGACCCATGTGGCTGGGAGATGTGTGTAGTGAGTTATAAGGAGTTACAAAGTGTCGCTCTTGAGTGCCAGGCATTGTGCTAGGTCTTGGGTATACAGGGGTCACTGAGTCACCCTACCTATCTTCCAGAAGTTCTTACTCCAGGGAAAGAAAAAACGTGATTACAGTGTGATAAGTGCTATAATAACCAGGTGATGTGTGTGATAAGGTGGTCTCAGTCTGAAGCAGTAACATTTGTGTCTTAAAGGATTAACAGGAGCTCATGAGGTTAGAAAAAAGGAATGGGCATTTGAGTTTGAATTCTGTGTTCAAAGACAGGTCTGAGAGAGCATGCTGGAGTGGAAAAACACACTCAGTTCCAGGAATTACTCTCTGGCTGTTTGCTGTGGACAGAAGAGGGGCGAATGCTGAGGTGTTGCTTGGTAAGATAGGGCCAGGTATGGAGGCCTTATTGGTTGCCAAGGAAATTTTAACTTACCTGATTAGCCATGGAGATTTTCTTTTTTTAATGTGGTAGTATTTTAGTTCCAAGATACACAGGAGAATATATATATGGTGTTAAAGTAAGTATGTGTCTGAGGCTCTCTAATTGGGTTCTCATCTCTGTCTTTTCTTTTTTGCTAATATTCCTGGTATCCTTGTGTGCTTACTGGGTTGATTCTAAACTTTGTGGGTTACTAACGAGTAGGATTTTGACTTAGACTGTTGAGAGCTCCTAACTCTACAATTTGTGCCAACATTTACTAAAGTACATTATGCCTCAGCCTAAAATCATTTTCTTCATTCTGAGGGAAAGCTAAAAACTGACTCAAGATTCTGGCTGGTTAAATGCTGTCACAAGGAGGTGGCCAACCTTCTTGTCTCCAATCATGACCAAAACTGGGTCATAAATTTATGGTGACTCCAGGGAAAAGAAAGCCACCTGAGAGAAGTCAGACTTGGCCCTGAACGAAGCCTCTGCAGGAGTAAGGTGGTTTGAGGGCTTGTTCATGGGCTCTGATTACACTCTACAGGCTCTGATTGCAAAGGAGAGGCCAGACACAGGTCTAGATTTTGGAGTTGCTGGTTGGTGAGCATTGAGTGACCATCCTGTTAGGGTAGCTCAGGACTTGATGATGTCACAAATCTAGGGACCCGTGGGAAGATGGTGACCCTCGGGAAGATCGGGGTGACATGCTGAGGGAGGCTGCATTCTGTGGATCGTGACCTTCACTGAGACAAGAGAACAGAGAAGAAAGGATAACTATTGGATGTATGACATTCACATATGGGTTTCAGCCACACTGAGACCGGAAGTACAGCCAGGCTGGGGGAGGGCCCACGTAGATAGTGATGCTGGAGCTGTAGGAATCTGATCTCAGTGTGGCAGCCAATTTCAAAACTACCTCTCATCTGGTCCAAGAAGAATCACGTTGTGAAGAAATACATTTTTAAAGGGCATCTGCCAAGATTGCGAGGCTGAATTAAAAGCCATGGATTTCAGGCCAAATGCAGAGCATTTCTATAACATTAGCCCTGAAAGGAAAAAAAAAAAAAAAATAGAGGAAGAATGGAAAAATTCTCAAAGGATATATTGAAGTACCAAAATGAGATACATCAGGAGACATGGGCTTTAGTTTTCAGACCTGTCATTATGGCCTATAAAGTTTAACTCTTTAGGTTACAAGCTCTAGAAAGTAATAATGGCTTATAGAAGGGAGAATTAATTGATAGTTGAGTTGTGTGGCAGTTGCCACAAGAAAATCTTTTTTTTTTTTTACAGAAATGAACGTATAAGGAGTGAATTTGAAAATAGTATCAGCTCTTCTTGTATCACACACAGTTCTCATATTGGTCCTCTGTAGTGTCATGGGGACTTTAGGTATAGCTGTATCTAACTATATTAGGTACTAGTTATCTAATTTCACATTCTAGTCAGAAGTTGAAAATACTTTGAATGTAATGAAAGAGATTTGTCACTGAAATTGTGCTCATTCAACTTCAGAAATCTTAATAGAAAATATGCAATGACTTTAATGTCTACAGGGAAGGTTTTTGTCATTAGCAAACTTCTTATTTGAAATCTATGGAACTACATTTGGAGGATTCAGGAGGAGGCCCTGAATAGACCCCAGGACCTCTGTTTGGTAGCAGAGCACCAGGTGCAGATTTTGAAATGTCTTTGCCTAAGAATCTATAACTTTATGGACTTTGAATAACAAATTCATCTAAAAAAGAAATCCTCTAGGTGAAAAAGATCTTTGTTTTCATAATGGTTTCTGTGTACTTACTTATAAAGAATTGGTTGTGCTTTTAGTTTTTAACATTTTTTTAGACACAAGACAAAATAGGTTTCCTGTGTGATAAAAGCAATTCATTACCTAGTTTAGTAGCTCTTCAACCAATGTAGCTCAATAAAAGACAGGCATTATCCCTGTTGGAAATTGATTAAAATTATAGAAGGTTTTAAGAAATGTTTTATTTGTGAACATTTGTAAACAGAGCAGCATTTCAGAGTGTTAATTGTTTTCAACATGTTTATATGATGAAATAAGACTTATAAGTTGCCTTGTTTATGAATTGGGCTGTGACAAGATTTGTAATAGTAAAGTACTGTGTATTTGTAACATGTTTTTATATAATGTGTTATTTGATATTCAAAACAGCACTGTAAGATTAGTAGAACAATATTATTATCTCTTTTAAAAGGAAAAAAAAAAAAGAGGCAAAAAATGTCACCCAAATCACAAAGCTAGCCTTTGACCACTATGCTGCAGAGATGTTTCTTTGAAATGAACATAATTCAGTTCTATAGGCAGACTGGCTTCATCTGCTTTTTGTTGTCTTAATCATTGCTTTCAACAGAAAGCTTTCTACCTAAGGCTGGAAAATGATTGAGAATATGTACAATAGAGACATTTTTTCCCATCAACAGTTACTGAGAGTAGGTGTCAACATGTTCTTAAGTTATAAGAACACAAATACATCCTTAGTAGCACAACACTGGCTAAAAAGGCATCATTAATTATTATTATTAAAGGTTTGTATTTTTCTAGGAGGACTAACTATACTCAAGAATTTAGGGAGATATTTTTTATTACACTTTATAGCTATCTTTAAAGTTCTGGAAACACATTAATGTGCCTTTGAAGAGGGATGAGAAATTTAAAAAAATTTATTATTGATTTCAGAGAGAGAGATAGAAAAATCAATGATGGGAGAGAATCATTCATCAGCTGCCTCCTGCATGCCCCCTACTGGGGCCTGCAACCCGGAGATGTGCTCTGACCGGGAATCAAACTGTGACCTCCTGGTTCATAGGTAGATGCTCAACCACTGAGCCATGCCAGCGGGGCAGACATTTTTTTATTTTGACAGTGCTTTTACTCAGATTAACCTTACATAATTACAAAACTCTAGGTTTGACTTAAAAGATTATAAACTGAGGCATTTGGGGAACTGTCTGTGAAATTGGACATCTTGTTATTTTACAGGATGAAGAGACTCGGAAAGATTATGACTACATGCTGGATCACCCAGAGGAATACTACAGCCATTACTATCACTACTATCGCAGGCGCCTCGCCCCCAGAGTGGACGTTAGGCTTGTGATTCTGGTCAGTGTGTGTGCCATCTCGGTGTTCCAGGTGTGTATTCGTGTGTCTGTGTCTCTGTGTATGTGCTAGAGTGTAAATCGCCTGGGGCTGGTCGTTAGAACTGAACTAGAGCCCTGGCCGTGTGGCTCGGTTGGTTGGGCGCCATCCCTTGCACTGAGAGTGGCCAGTTCGATTCCCTGTCAGGGCATATGTTCGGGTTGCGGGCTTGATCCCCAGGAGGGATGTGCAGGAGGCAGCCCATTAATGCTTCTCTCTCCCTTCCCCTCAACCACTGAGCCATGCCCGTCAGGCTCTGTGCTGCGATTTCTTAAACAAGTTCCTTACTGTTAGCTTTGTCTGTTAATGTTTCCTCCGATCAGTAGACTGCAGTCTGGAGAGAGAACTAGAGCGATAGTTCTTAACAGTGATGTAGGGAAGAGCCAAACAGTAAAGATGGGAAGTCGCAGGTGTGTGATCCCATTGATCTATGTAACCTCTGACCTTGGGTATCTCCTGTCTGATTTAATGGCTTTCCGGCTCAGCTCAGGGCTTACCTGACTTAACCAGCCTTGTACATGGAGGCATTATTCAGTTGTATCTTTTACTTGCAGAGTAGGTTATTGAGGTCCCTGTTTTTTAATCAGAATGGGTTTTGGGGAGGGGTGGTGCTCACAAAGATGAATTCTGGTAATAAAAATCACCCGTTTTTATTTGTTAAACATTCTAGTTTTTCAGTTGGTGGAATAGCTACGACAAGGCGATCAACTACCTGGCCACAGTGCCCAAATACCGCATCCAAGCCATGGAAATTGCTAAAGAGCAGGGGTTGCTCAGAAAAGCCAAAGAGAAGGGCAGAAACAAGAAATCTAAAGAGGAAATTCGTGATGAGGAGGAAAACATTATAAAGAACATTATAAAGAGTAAAGTGGATATAAAGGGAGGCTATCAAAAACCCCAGATATGTGACCTTCTCCTGTTTCAAATTCTCTTAGCTCCTGTTCACTTGTGCTCTTATATAATCTGGTACTGCCGGTGGGTCTATAACTTTAATATCAAAGGCAAAGAGTATGGGGAAGAAGAAAGACTATATCTCATACGTAAATATATGAAGATGTCAAAGTCTCAGTTTGATAGTCTAGAAGATCATCAAAAAGAAACTTTTCTTAAAAGGGAGCTCTGGATCAAGGAGAATTATGAGGTGAGTAACAAGTCTTCTGGGATTTTTATGTCACCTTCCCATACCAAGGTAAAATGAGGTGTGTGGTAAGAATCACAGAAGTGCACTCAAATTTCTGAAATCCAAGAGTGAGACTGGCCCGACACGCCCTTGAGCCCTCCCGCAGTCCCTTCCCAGCCCCGATTGTGCACTGGTGGGGTCCCTTGGCCTGGCCTGCACCCTCTCACAGTCCGACACCCAATCCCATGCACGAATTTCGTGCATTGGGCCTCTACTGTTATTATATGAAATTATCTTGGTCCTTACTTCCTAAATTTGGAAGTAGAGTAATTCCTTTGTAAAATTTGATATAACTCTGAAACTGGTTATGAAAACTTGTCCATTTAATGTCAGTTGACATCCACTGAAAGTTACAGAGTTGCATATGTTTTGTTCTTAATCCATGTGGTTTATTTAACCTTCTTTGATAACTTTAGTAAAAATATTTTGAAAAACCAATAATTATTTTTGAAGATAAAAGTGGATTGAATGTAGGTTCAATTTGGAGACAAAGTATATACCAGATCATTTTGGTTAGGATCAACAAATACCGAAAGCCACCAGATTAACTTACAGAGAACCACGTTAAAAAACAAAGTGTGATTCTTAATATTGGACACTAATTGCAGAGAGGAAATGTTTAAGTCCTTTAAACTCAGCTTGTGTATGATTTTAATGAGGGCTAGTCCTTATACAAGCTGTTCTTTAATATTTAACACTGAATGTTCAAGTGCTTGACTGCTTGGTATTTTTAGTGCACGGTCTTCAGAAGACAAACAAACCCATTCATTGGACACTTTTATCAACTCATATTTGAAAAATGTAAATATGCCATAAAGCTTATGACAGATGTTTCCCTTTGGATTATAAAGTCAGTGTTTTTTATACTTACAGGTCTACAAACAAGAACAAGAAGAAGAGCTAAAGCAAAAATTGGCCAACAACCCTCGATGGAAGAGATACAGGAGATGGATGAGGAATGAAGGGCCCGGGCGGCTAACGTTTGTGGATGACTGAGGGCTGCTGGAATGCTACTGTGCCAAACCTTAATCGTGATATTATTTTCATAACTGAATTATTTTAGAAATGTTTCCACTGCTCCTCTGCAGTAACGGAAATTCCTTAAGTATTTGATTAAATAGAATAATGAAGAAATTTAAACTTTACCTTAAAACTTTATACATGAGACATTTATGATTGTTCAATTTTTATAATCTATTTGTGGGTTTTGTTAAAAGATTTAAAATGAAGATTTATAAGTTGCCATTTAAAAATTTTATATGTTTAGTTAAAAGATTTGACATGAAAATTTATTAGATATCATTGAAAATGTTTACGTGTTAAGTGCTTATTCTTCAAACGTGTTTCCGTATTCTGTTATAGTGCTACATTTTTCTGCTTTCGTGGCCTCTGATATTTTCACAAAACATAAAACATAACAGCATTTCATTATATTATTCTGAGTGTCTTTCTAGACACAAACTTCAACAAAATGATTTCAACTATCACATCATCTTCATTATAGTTGTTCTGGGATTAAAATATGTTCAGAACATATCTCTAGGAGAGTCCTCTAGAATGTCTTCCCACTCTTCCTCCCCAGTCATAGTATTCCTGAGAAGGTCATAAACTCTCCAGGAGAGTGACTCTGTGTTCATGTCCTTGTAGGATGATCTTGATTACAGTCATTATAGGACTATGACTTTTTTCAAACATGTTTCCAGAAGAGACTTTGTACAAAAAGGCCTTTTGTACCACAGTATTGCTTTTTACCCCCACTTCAATTTTTAAAAAGTAACGAAGCAGAAATAGTGTACTGAAAAGTTATTCATATACTATGAAGTCCTTGAGTGGCAAAAAAAAAAAAAAAAAAAAAAAAAAAAATCCGTTGTAGATGAGTGCATTTACATACATTGAAACCAGAAAAAAAGAAGTGACTATGTGCTGTTCTTTCAATGAGATATAAACAATGAGATACAGTTTATACATGTGGAGGTGAAAATGATTCACACATAATTTGACTAAAGCAAGTATGATTTTCACCAACGTATCAATGCACATGCGTAGTAGGGAATCAATACTGCTGTAGAAGGATTTATCCCATGCTTCATATGAATAAAACGGTTGCAATGTGTCACGTTTGTTGGTATGACATTTTAAATCAAAGATGAACATGTTGCTTTTGTTACACAGTTTTTAAAGATTAGGATAGATAGTATGTTGTTATGAGAACTAAACAAGATAGGAGGAAAGTGCTGGCAAACATGAGTGTCAGTAAATGTTTCCTTACCTGCGGAGGGAACAGGAGCCATTCATTCTCATTGGTTAAAATCCAGGGCAGGAGGGCGTTTCTCGATTCGTTTAGTAGGTGTTGGAATTCCTCACCTTGCTCGAGGTGTAGTACATGCTAGAGTGAGAAAAGTGATGCTCCTTAGAGTTGGGGTTGTATATTTTAAAACAGCTGCGGGCCTCTTGTGGCCTTGGGTACAAGGCGAAGCAGCTAAGATGACAGCTCAGGAAAGAAACTTCCAGAATCATCAGCTGCTCACTAGTAGAAGGCTTACATGTCCTGAAGGGACACTTTAAGTGAGATAAACAGGCATGCTTGAATGGTTGCTCAAAAGGACATCAAGTAGCCCTAAGTTCCACTGCCTCAGAAAGTCTCAAAAATGCCCAAGCGCTGGCTGTGTGGCTCAATGGTTGGAGTATCACCCTGTGCATTGGAAGGTTGTGGGTTTGATTCCTGGTCGGGCACACCAATGTCTGTCTCTCTCTCTCTCTCTCTCTCTCTCTCTCTCTCCTCTCTCTCTCTCTCTCTCTCTCTCCTCTCTCTCTCCTCCCCTCCCCTCCCCTCCCCTCCCCTCCCCTCCCCTCCCCTCCCCTCCCCTCCCCTCCCCTCCCCTCCCCTCCCCTCCCCTCCCCTCCCCTCCCCTCCCCTCCCCTCCCCTCCCCTCCCCTCCCCTCCCCTCCCCTCCCCTCCCCTCCCCTCCCCTCCCCTCCCCTCCCCTCCCCTCTCCTCCCTCCCCTCCCCTACCGTCCCCCCGCCCCGCCTCTAACATTTTTTAAAAGAAAAAGAAAAAAAAAAGCCCATGGAAATGTCTCCAGAAGCCGAGCCTACAAACCTGCTGGTCAGTCAGCAGAGTTCTAACAATGGGCATAAGGAAGTGCAGTAATTTTTATGGTGCACTGTTTCCCTCGTTATAGTGGATGTGTTTTCCCGTTTCTTTGAATCATTTTAGAAAGCCAGTGGTGCATATTATTGCTATTTTCATGTAACGCTGGCAGAAACACCTCCCCGCTTCGTTATTTTTATGGAGAAGAGTGAGCCCGGATATTGGAAGAGGAGCCCACAGTTATAAAGGGGTGACAGGTACCTGTCGCAGGCGGGAAGAGGTAGAGATGAAGCCGGGGAGGCGTGAGCTGCGCAGGACGCGGTGCCGGTGCGGTCTCGCCCGTTAGGAACGCGGGGTCCCTGGCGGTTGGGTCCCAAACCGCCGCTCACCAGCCGCTCCTCCCGCGCGGGCGGCCCGGCGCGGGCGGGGGCGGGGGCGGGGGCGCGGGGCCGGGCGGCGGGGCGGGCGCAGCGGTTTCCCCGCCCCGCCCCGGCCCGGCCCTCCGCTCCCGGTCCCGGCCCTCCGCTCCGCCGCCGCCGCCATGTCCTCCGGGGCCAGCCTGTACGCCCTGCAGCGCCTGGTGGAGCAGCTCAAGCTGGAGGCCGGCGTGGAGAGGATCAAGGTGCGGGCGGAGGCGGAGGGCATCCCAGGCCGCGGGGGGCCGCCGCCGAGCCGGGCGCGGGGCGCGGGGCCGGGCGAGGCCGCGCGGGGCGGGCGGGGCGGCGGGAGGATGGCTGGGCCCGGAGGGATGGGAGCCGCCGCCGGGCCGAGCGGGACCCAGGCTCCCGGGCGGCGGGGAGGCGGGCCCGCGGGGAGGGCCAGGAGGCCGGGGCTCCGGGGAGAAGGGCTTGCTGGCCCCGCGGGGGCAGGGGGGCGGGACTGAGCGCCCCTCGGCGTTTCCTCGTCGGTGCGCGAGGATGAGGCCGGGATGCGGGGCGACCGAATGAATGGACGGCCTGGGGGATGATGGACTGTGGGGAGGGAGGGAGCCGGGGAGGCGCTGCTCAGGGTTCCGGGCGTCGTGACCCGTGCTGGCTGCAGCGCCGGGGAGGGGGAGAGGGAAGGGAGGGAGGGAGAGAGCCACAGGGAGGAAGGGGGACGACGAGGCCAGTTTTGGGTCCGTGGGCTTCGAGGGGCGTCCAGAAGGTGTTGGGCTACATGGGCCGAAGCTCGGAGGCCAAGGCTGAGGGATGCAGTGGAGAGATCCAGGGTGGGAAGGGGTGTTGGTGAGAGGCGGGGGCAGGGAGCCGGGCCCTGCAGAAGAGAAGGCTGAGGAGAAGCACATCCAGCGGGTGTTGTCTCAGTTGGTGAAAAGGCGTCTGTGCTGAGCAGCTAGGACGGGCAGCAGCATCTGCAGTGTGTGTGTGTGTGTGTGTGTGTGTGTGTGTGTGTGTGTGAACACTGCTGTGCTGGTCCATGACCTCGTAGGCCCGTTCTCCGTATCCGGCACTCTCCTAGGTCCTGAGCATACGGCGATTCTAGTGGGGAAGAGAAACAGAAAACACGTTAACAATAAAATAATTTCAGACAGTGAGTGATGTGAAGTGTATAAAACACGAGAAAGTGAGACGTATGGCATGCTGAAGAGGTTTCAGCAGGAGGAGCAGAATCTGGATTGTAATAATGTAGGCAGACTTAAAAAGAGAGAAGTCTGGTTTTCAAAAGGAAACACTTTTTTTTTTTTTTTTTTAAAGTAGGAAACAAAAAAGCCATGTTTTGCGTTGAGCAAAGGAACAAATGGAGAAGATTTAGAGGAAGAGGAGACAGGGGCCTAGGATTGCGGGGGGGTGGGGGGTGGGGTGTGCTTTTGAGACAGGCAGAAAGGGGGGTGAGGATATGTGTAAAGATAGATGTTTCTAGGTTAAGGACTTGTATGATAACAGCTTTCTTTGTGAAATAGAAGGCTACATTTTCTTTGGGGCAGAGGAAAGGGAGCCAATGGAATCTCCAGAGCGAGGGTGGCGCGAGAGTGCTCTCTTTCTTACCAGGCACATCCATAGACACCTTGTGATGTTCAAGACCCAGCTCCAGTGAGAGGGGAGACCCATTGCACTCCTTATGATTTTTCTCGTCCCGCTGCATTTGGCCACCCAGGAATCTGAGTGCCACCTGCAGGGTAGTTGATCCAAGTAAGTGGGTTAGCAGGGAAGATATGCCAGAGAGATGGAGGTGGGCGTGGAGGGCAAGGGGTTGAGGGTCTGCCCAGAAAGAGCCTGAGCCCGGGCTGGAAGGAGGCAGAACCGTGCAGCCTCCTGGCGATGGGCTGGAGGAAAGGGGAGGTGGCATTCTCTCTGAGAGCAAAGAGCAGGTGTAGCCAGGCCAGGAAGCAGCGCCCTGGATGGGAAGGAGAGATGGTGATGAGAAAGCAGGATGTGGGAGTATAACATTTCGGTTGTGGAGCAGTTAGCAGGTCTTGGCTGTGACTGTTGGCATGGAGAAGGCTGTTTGAGAGGAGGTCAGGGGACTGGAACGGGTTGTAGCCAGTGGTGAAGATGATGCAGAGACCGGAGGTGGAGAGGAAAACAGCCAGATGCCTACGCTGTGAAGCGGGGAGCCAATTCCTATCTACATTAAAAATAATTATGGGAGATGAAACCGAGATCTAGAGAATTGGCGTGAATTGTTCAAGGCACACAGATAACAAACGTAATTGAGGGATGTGCTCAGGGTGGCAGATCTGGGGTGCTTTAACGGCTTCTCACAGGCAGCACTTTGGGAGTGATTCTCTCTCATCATTGATGTTTCTATCTGTCTCCCTCTCTCTGGAATGAATAAAAACATTTTAAAACATTTTAAAAAGTGAAAAGAAAAACATTTTAAAAAGTGAAAAGAAAAATGGGAAGTGAAGAAAGTCTTCAAACATGCATCAAATGGAAAATAAGAAAAAAATCAGAATAACATGGAACCAATGCTGTGACTTAAAATGACATTTACTAACTCAACGATGCTTAGGTCAGCAGTTTAAGCTGGGTTCCACTGTATAGTTCTGCTGGTCTTTGCTGGGCCCTCCTGTGCATCTGCAGTCAAGTGGGGGGTAGGCTGGTGTCTGGGTGATATGAGGTGGCTTTACTCATGAATCTGGGGGTTGGCAGGCAGGTGGCTGGGGGCTGGCTTTCTGCTGCTCTTCCACACGATCTCACGTCATCTAGCTTGGTATTATTAGATGGTGATTTCAGGATTCTAATCACAGCAAGAGAGAGAACTGCAAAGGCGCTTCTAGCCACGACTTGGAACTTGCCCATTATTTCTACTACATTCTCTGGTCAAAGCAAGTCACAACAAGCTCAGATTCAAGAAGTGGGTAAACAAACTCCACCTTTTGGTGGGAGGAGTTGCAAACTATTGTGACTTTTCTGCAATCTGCCACATATACTAGTCTATTGCTAATTGTGTGTCAGCACTATTCTGAGTGCTTTGCATGCATTAACTCAAATCATCACATCAACCCAATGAAGTTACTATTGTATTACTAAATACAATTCACTGATGAGAAAACAAGTACTGAGAAGCTAAGAAACGGGCCATGTTCGTACAAGGTAGGGACACAGCGGAATTTGAGCCCAGACAATCCAGTCCCAGAGGCTGCTCTGTTCACCAACAAGCTATCCTTCCTCCAAGCAAGGTGGTGGGGGAACTAGTTCTGAGCACACTGGATGAAACTCGAGCCTTGTATACATTAAACAGTGTGCTCACTTGGCAAACATGCATATATCAATGCATACTTTATGAGTGAAAAAGGGACACTGCATGAGCTATTTCTTTACCAATTTAGTCTCAGAACTAGAATACTAGATGAATCAGAGAGGCTGCTTTTTCTTTTGTTAAATAAGCAACCAAAAATATCCTAAATCAGAGTTCATAGCTATTGTAACCTTTTCTCTTTGGAGTTCAGTTATTAGAACTTTCAGCAAAAACGAGACTTGGCGGCAGTCACAAAAAGTATGGTCAGGCTGCAAGAGCATTTGTCAGAATGTCAAAGGGCTGTGGGCGGGTGGGTCTGGCAGGGGGCGGGTGGGTCTGGCTGGGGGCAGCATGTCATGCTATAGTCCTTTGGTTTCAGGTCTCTCAGGCGGCTGCTGAGCTTCAGCAGTACTGCATGCAGAATGCCTGCAAGGATGCCCTGCTGGTCGGAGTTCCAGCGGGCAGCAACCCCTTCCGGGAGCCCAGATCCTGTGCTTTACTCTGAAGACTGGTGAGTCTTGATCCACTGTGCCGGCTTAGGGCCATGGCACTATCACAGGGCTCCCAAAGGATGTGGGCACCTGTGTTTTGAGTATCTACTCTTCTTGGGGGAATTAAAAAGAAAAGCAGCCAAATGCACAACTCTCCCTGAAGGGTGTCTCTAGTCTGTATTTACCCTGCCTGTGGGTTGCACCTAATTAAGAGAGTCTCAATCCTCTTGGGCACTACCTCCCAAGATGTTAATATCTTCACGTCCTTGAGCTCTGTGATGAGTTAGCTGGTGGCCATCTGTTGACCTGAATGCTACTCTCTCTGTCCTTACACCATCCCGGAGTTGTCCTTTGCTGCTTGGTGCTGTCAACTCACTTGCTACTCTTGGGACAAAGGCCTCCCCAGAGGAGGAGAGCTGTTTCTACTACCAGCTGTGATTTCTTCCACAGGCTTCAGAATACATCTCTATTTCACTTATTTAATATTTTTATTGGTTTCAAAGAAGAAGGGAGAGAGAGAAATATCAATGATGGGAGAGATCATTGATTGGCTGCCTCCTGCACGCCCCCTACTGGGGATCAAACCCACAACTCAGGCATGTGCCTGAGTGGGCACTGAACCGTGACCTCGGGGCTCATAGGTTGATGCTTAACCACTGAGCCAAAGTGGCCAGGCTATCTCTGAGTTTTAACGGAGGAAGCTTTAATGTAGCTAGAGGGGAAAGTGTGAGTCTGGTTAAAAGAGCTTTAAAAGCCAGACATTGAAATGAAAACATATCTTTGGTGGCATATTAGAAATGTCATGGGTTGTGATGGATTTTATGGGATCTCATTCATATTTTTACTTTGTTTGGAAAAATTCAGTGAGTAGCTTTGAGAGTCTTTTGGGGCCAACATGTTCAAATTTTGTGTTTGTATGGGTTTTCATATAGTACATAATCATTTTAGGTCCTTTTTCATACATATAAAGGGAATTATGCATACTAAAAAGAAGTAATATTATCAGCTACTAGCTACTGTTGTACCTTTTAATTAAAAATGCCCACATTTGCCGAAACTGGTTTGGCTCAGTGGATAGAGCGCTGGCCTGCGGAGTGAAAGGTCCTGGGTTCGATTCCGGTCAAGGGCATGTACCTTGGTTGCAGGCACATCCCCAGTAGGGGGCGTGCAAGAGGCAGCTGATTGATGACTCTCTCATCGATGTTTCTAACTCTCTACTTTGTATCTCTCTCCCTTCTTCTCTGTAAAAAATCAATAAAATAT